AGTACATATACATTTGTATATGCAGGACATACACATGCTGTTAAAAAATCTTAAATATGTATCTACTTTCAAAATTACTGCATACTGACCATTACTTCAGGGATACAGGACATGTTACTGGACAATGTAATTACACCAACTGAAATATATTTAGTGTTTAAATATCCATTTCAGATGCTGCTAATTAAGAGTCAGAGAGCATGTCACCAGCTCAGGAACCTCCCATAAGGAATCTACCACAGTCACCATCTCAGATACAGTAAGAATGTCAGATCGTATTAAGTTAATTTTGCCAAACTGACATGGTTTTAAAGAATTTAATACAACTGAACTTTGACCTATATGCTATGTTATTTACATATAAAAATATTGATGATATGAAATGATGTTAGCCTCTATTCCTTGATGTATATTTGTAATTCCAGAGATATATTTATTGTTTGTGTGGTTGAAGAGATAATACTGATGCTTTACAATGCTTATATTACAGTGAAGCAGAGAGTGATACAGCAGCCACTGACCCCAGTCCTACATAGAACAACACATCAAAACTTACATGAACAGGAGAGGCAACTCAAGGAAAAGGTTGACAAAATAGAAAAATTGAACAGAAAACCTGAACTTGAAAAGTTTGGAGTTTGTAAATTCATGTATGATGATAAAAAAATGATTGAACATTTTACAGTATTCCATCATTTCAAACATTTGCACTGATTAGCTGGAACCTTTTCATTTGTTGAATATCTTCCCAGGTTTTGTGAAGTACCTTGCCCAAACAGCACAAGAATTGACAGACATGAATGTAAATGAAATTGTTTCATGCTTTTGTGTTGTGTAAATGATGGATGAAAAAAGAGACAGCTGTAATACATACACATTGATGGATTTAACTGAATAATAGAAAGGTATTTCATAATGGCATAGGTGTAGATGTAACTCTTTTGCTGCTGTTTAATTAGTAATTGATGAAAAAGAATGTATTTCATCCTGTTTGAAAAGAGTTAGTTGGGAACCAGAAAACATTCATAGGAAAGAGATTATGATAATGTGTAAGGGGAGAAAACTATGATAAATTATGAATTGAATCAGCTGTAATTGTTGCCATTCATGTCAGACTAATCTAAAAAGATATTTCTATCAACAAAAATATTGCACCCAATATATTTTCAATTTGCATCCTCTGAAAATTTTATTGTTATTCATCAGTGTTACAGTTGGAAGCTATTGTGAATGTGTCTATTGTTATTTGACTTTTAAGACACCATTTCAAAATAAATTTTCATTAACTGCACTCCAGGTGTTCGTTATTTATTTAGGTTAATTGTTTGCTGTAGTATGAATCCTGTTATGTTAATCTGATAATATACTCATGCCAATAATGGTTGTCACCCCCCCTCCCAACCCCACACACCCTCTCCAATTAAAAAAATTGAAGGGGGTGACAACCATTATTGTCATGAGTATATGTTCTCCTTAAAAAGGTCTTCAGGTACAGTGGTACAGAATAAATACACCAGATCTACAATAAATCAGTTTTATGGTATAGTAACACAGTATTGAAAATTGTTTCAAATATTCCCCATGCAGGTACCATAAGTCCATTTAGGTGAAATAATTATTCACCTCCAAATCAGTCAAGAAAGAACTTGAAAAAATATCATCCAGTTTTGTCTTGCACTTTGTGTCCCACTCATGTTGATTGAATGAAATAGTTTCTAAATGATGACGTGGCGATTCGTTGTTCCTCTGCGATTGTAACATGCAGTTACGCGCACATCGCCATCACCTGTAGGTACAACTAAAAATAAATGCGTAAATAAATACCCCATATCTATAAAACAGAGTCGATAGGACAAAACATTTTAAACAGAAAAAATACCAAACAAATAATTTCATCACATGAATAATACAATTTTGTTTGGTCCAGATCCACTCGAGGAGAGCTATCTTGATCTACATATTACTTATAATCTAGATTATCCAGCTCAAGAATTAACAACACTACTCCCATGTGGAAGTGGATGATTTGAATCCAGGTCAGGAAATACGTTGAGTCTTTTGCTTTGTTCATATGCTGATAAAGTAAACGTAATTGACTTCCCTTGGTAATATTTCCACTATTGTGACTTTAGAGTAGCTTCCCTTCATAAATGCTGCACAACATGGTAAACGTAGCCTAGATATCTAGGTCATATGACTTATCATGATGTGTCGTGAAGTACAGTAATTATTCACCCTTCAATCCGTGGATATGCTACAGAAACATGTTTGTAGCCCTTTCCCATTTCTCTGCAATTTCCCTGAACTACTGGACAGTTTCGTAATGTACCGTTCAAGGGAAATTTGAAACCAGGAGTATACATTGAGATTTGTCGCCATTATGCGATCGTGTCCTTGCCCAATTTAGCCTCGTTTTGGTACAGATATGAATATTCATGAGGCCTCATTAAGAATGGTCTATACATAGACGACCTCATCATATTTGCTGACACTTACGAGGAGCATCTCTCAAGACTAAGCAAAGTGTTGGAAAGGCTGCGTGAGTGCAATTTGAAGTTATCTCCAGAGAAATGCAGCTTTTTCAAAGAAAGGTGTCATATGTGGGTCATATCATATCAGAAGATGGAATTGAACCTGATCCTGGAAAACTAGAAGCAGTCCAGAAATGGCCAAGACCAACCAACCCCTCAGAGGTTAGGCAATTTCTTGGGTTTACAGGTTACTATAGACGTTTTGTAAAGAACTTTGCACAGATTACTAAACCCCTGTCTCAGCTAATACCATCACCGTTGGACAGTAAGAAGGGTAGTACAAGAACACCTGAAGATTGGGTTTGGGGTGAAAGAACAAGAAGACGCATTTGTGGCACTGAAGGATCGATTGTCTTCTCCACCAATACTTGGTTTCTGTGATTACTCCTTTCCTTTTGAACTTCATACAGATGCTAGTCAAGCAGGGTTAGGAGCTGTTCTTTACCAGAGTCAGGATGGTAAACTCAAGGTTATTGCATATGCAAGTCGAGGTTTGACCAAGTCAGAAAGAAATTACACTGCCCATAAACTGGAATTTTTAGCTCTGAAATGGTCAGTAACAGAAAAATTCCATGATTATCTGTATGGTCATGATTTCACTGTATCTACTGATAATCCGTTGACGTATGTTCTGACAACTGCAAAACTAGATGCGACTGGTCACAGGTGGTTAGCAAATCTCTCTTCTTACCACTTTGACGTCAAATACAGAGCAGGAAAGTCCAACAAGGATACAGATAGCCTATCACGGATTCCAGGTTTAAAAATGCTGCAGACAGATCAGAGGAGCAGATTCTTAGAGATTCTGTGAAAGCAATTTGCCAATCCACTACAATATCATCTTACATTGAATGTTTGAGTGCGGTCGGTGAAGTGTCGAATGATCTGAATACAGGTAGCGATTTGACTGCAATGACTCCTCGTGACTGGAGAGAAGAGCAGGCCAAGGATCCTGTTATCGCAGCCATGGTTAGTTTTGTCCGAACAGGGGTCAAACCCAAGAGAGATCAGTTCATCAACAATGACTTTACTACTTTACTGAGAAGTTTTCATCATTTGAAGCTCAAACGTGGCGTCATGTATAGAGTTATCTCACTTGAGAATGTAACTACAGAACAGTTGATTCTTCCAGTTCATGTTCGTCAGAAAGCTTTTGAGTCTCTTCATAATGATATGGGACACATGGGTCGAGATAGGACATTGTCTTTGCTTAGGGAAAGGTTTTACTGGCCCAGAATGGCGAGTGATACTGAGAACTGGATCAGAAATTGTGAACGGTGTTTACGGAGAAAATCTCAGGCAAATACAAGAGCTCCACTTGTAAGCATCAAAACCAGGTACCCATTGGAGTTGATTGCCATGGATTTTTAACACTAGAACCGTCTAAAGGTAAATATCAGCATATCTTGGTTATTACAGATCACTTCACCAAGTATTCCCAAGCAATTCCCACAAAGAATATGTCGGCTCGTACTACAGCAGAAGCTTTCTTCAACAACTTTGTTGTTCATTACGGATTGCCATCCAGAATATATTCTGATCAGGGAGCAAACTTTGAGAGTCGTCTCATTGAGGAGTAATGTACCATAACCGGAATCAAAAGTCTAGGACAACACCATATCATCCTATGGGTAACAGTCAGTGTGAACGTTTCAATAGGACTTTACTTGATATGTTAGGTACATTGCAACCGGATCAGAAAGTTGATTGGAAATCACATGTAGCTACTTTAGTCCATGCGTACAATTGCACGAAACATGAAACCACCGGATATTCACCTCATTTCCTCATGTTTGGTCGGCACCCCGCCTTCCCATTGATCTTGCTTTCGGTGTAAATCAGGAGAATGGTGAGGAATCTCTACAGTCTTACACATGGAATCTGAAAGATCGTCTTCAGCAATCATATGAGCTTGCTTCAACGGCTATGAAAAAGGCTCAAGGTAAGCAGAAACGGGGATATGATTATAAGGCAAGAGGATCGAGCTTAGAGATAGGTGACGGAGTGTTAGTTCGCATTTTGGCGCATGAGGGAAAGCACAAAATAGCTGATTGATGGGAAAATGAAACTTATGAAGTGATAGATCAACCCAATTCGGAAATTCCAGTATTTGTGGTGAAACCAGAATCAGGAATTGGACGAACTAGACCACTGCACAGAAATCATCTTTTGCCTGTTAGTAGCATATCCAGTAAACCTAAAACGTCTAAGCATTATCCAATTCCAAAGCCGAGGAAAAGACTTGTTCCAGCTCCACTGGTGGAAATGAAGTCATCACCTGAACCAAATCAGGATGATAGTGATTCTGAAATCATTGTGTCAGTTTCTGAAACTCCTGCTATGGATGAAGATCTTTCAGTGAATGGCACCGAATCGAATGCCAAAGGAGATACTGAAGAGAGGAGTACTTCCCAGCAAGACAGTGACGACTGCCAGGAAGCTGGGAAGTTTTAGCAGGGGGAAGCTGATGATGTAGGTGTAACATGTGAGAACGATTCAAAGCCAGAATCAAGTGTCTCCAGTGATTTACATGAAGAAATTTCCACAGTAACTATTGGTCAAGAGTCGGTTGAGGAATCTGGTACACAGGAGACAGATGTTCGACGTTCAGGTCGTCACAGAAATAAACCACAATGGATGACAGGTGGTGAGTTTGTGTTATCTCACACAACGCCATCTCCAGAGTGGCTGGAGAAAGCAGAGTTTCTTCGCACTCTGGCGTTGTCAGGAGCTTTCCATGAGTTGCCTGCTGAGGTGAGGAAAGCCATTATAGCACTGGTTGCGGGTACGTAGTGAATGACGAGGACGTCAATTTTCAATGGGGAAGTGTGTAGCAGGATATGATGTCAGTTGAGACATATCAGATTTTATTGTTCAGGTGAAGGTGTTTTATGTAATTATAAAACTATGCAAATAAAAAGTATTAACTGCTAAACTCCAAAAATATGTTTAAAGCTTTCATTGCTGAAGGGTTATTTAATAAACATTGTGGTTGTTTAAAAATCAGATTTACAAAACTGATAAAAGGTTTTGGTGAGGGTTAATAAAATTCTATGTGGTTGAGGTGCATCTGAATTATGCCCCTTTGTGGAATATTTACATCACTAAGGAAGTGAGGTGGTTCATTCTGGCCTCAATTTCATATTGTGTGTAATGTGACCAGAGATTAAGTCTGATTGGGTACAAGTTTTTTAGGCATATTAAATACCCTGAGTGTCCAAGCACATGGCACTTAGTATCCAGCATTGCACAGCACAGCAGCAGCAGCAGCACTGTTACTTGCCACAGAAGGTTAGTTGAATACTTGTTTTGTTTAATACATTAACTTTAGAGGTTGTTATTTATATTATGCTTGAGTAAAACTTTAAAATACTACAAATAAATAATTAGCAAATTATTTCTAGCATAACATGTAGCTGTAGTGTATGCACTTGTGTATGCATTGGCAATTTTGTGAAATTGGCAAATGTTGTTTGCAGGTGCCAAAAAGGGGTAGAATAGTAAACTCCATTCCATTCCATAGATGGGTAAGGTGTATTTTCCTTAGTACATTGTGTGAATGTTTTGAATGTGGTGTGCGTGTGTATTTGTGTAACATGACTATTTTAATTTAATTAATGCAACCAATGAAATGTTACCCTATTTGTGATATAGAATATTCTTATAGAATGATTGTTTGCTGTCCATTGGATTCTTTGTCAAATGTTTCAGGGTGATGTTTTTGTGGACTTAACTACCCAACGGAGAATAAAATGTCCTCCCCTATACCAGCGACTTTGTTGTTTTGAAGACCTGGTCACAACACTGTTTTGTCAATAAAGCCTAAGTAGTGGACCATGTCCCCCGAGGGTCTCTTTCAAGATGGCGGCAATTCTGGTCCCATGCCCCAACATGGCGTCACATCCGGTTCCGGTGGGATCTCTCGTCTCTAGTGGGATGCGCATTTTACACGATGGCGGCGGGCGGACGGAACGCATTTCAAGATGGCGGCGAGCGGACCCATTTCAAGATGGCGGCGGACGGGAAGGAGAGGGCAATTGCATGCGTGCGTGTGTTGAGGGGATGTGATGGGATGGCATGGTGTTAAAGCTTTGTAACCCAGCTTTCTTTTTGAGCAAGATGGGTGGCCTTGAAAAGGGCCGTTGTGATGGTAAGTCATCTTAACAGTGACATATTAGATCGAGCCCTCGGAAAATAAATGTTCCTGGACAGATATCGTCGTACAGTTGTTGTGCTCCCTTCCTGATGCCTTCACCACAATATATGCAAACGTAAAAGGCAGCTCCCGGTACCACATCAAACCGATTGGAACGATAGGCTTTCAAACAGGTATGACATATTATGTAACGCCATTTTAATGCACATTGCCCTATCACCGCTGGAGATGGTGTGGGTGGCGCTTCTGCTGCCTCTGTTGGTGGTGTGAGCGGCGCTTCTACTGCTGATGCTCATGTATCGGAGGGAGCGGGAGGGGTACCCACTTCCATTTGAATGTCAGTCTTCACTTTCAGTCTTGGTCTGCATCGGAGACAATGTTTTTCTTCCGCAGTTTTTCTGGTAGGGTTTTGGCCTCACTACTTCGACTCTTCTTGCGTCCATGATGATACATCGGGATACTGTCACTTCAAGATTCTTGAGTTTACATAGGCAACAAGGGGATCGAAGACGTCACCTCAGTGATGTGACGCTTCACGGTTCATTGGTTCAATTCCCGTGCGTCTCATTGGTCAAAAGCCTCACGTCTCATTGGTCAAATCGGTCTCCATCTTCTTAAGTCTTAACCCCTTTTGATGCCGAGGTTTTTTACAAGCGCACATTTTCATAAAGTTTGAAAAGTGAACGTTGTGCGAGATTTGCGCTCGCATGGTCCTGGATCTGCGTACGGCTATAAAGATACACAGAAATGTAGAATATTAAATTTTCTATCCGTGGGTATAAATATAAATGCAAATACCCCCTGAAATAGACACTGCTAAATATTTAGATGTCCAAAATTTTGTTATGCCTTAAAACACAGTAAATTTCTCCGCTTTTGATTGTGCACCGATAACAGCACTGTGCTACGATTTTTTAATTTGGCATCTTTACGGAAAGTGTGAGCAAAGAAAATACAGCCCTGATATCTGAACGACATAAGTATATATGAAATGGGTTTATTTGACCACTGCACAGAAATCATCTTTTGCCTGTTAGTAGCATATCCAGTAAACCTAAAACGTCTAAGCATTATCCAATTCCAAAGCCGAGGAAAAGACTTGTTCCAGCTCCACTGGTGGAAATGAAGTCATCACCTGAACCAAATCAGGATGATAGTGATTCTGAAATCATTGTGTCAGTTTCTGAAACTCCTGCTATGGATGAAGATCTTTCAGTGAATGGCACCGAATCGAATGCCAAAGGAGATACTGAAGAAGGAGTACTTCCCAGCAAGACAGTGACGACTGCCAGGAAGCTGGGGAAGTTTAGCAGGGGAAGCTGATGATGTAGGTGTAACATGTGAGAACGATTCAAAGCCAGAATCAAGTGTCTCCAGTGATTTACATGAAGAAATTTCCACAGTAACTATTGGTCAAGAGTCGGTTGAGGAATCTGGTACACAGGAGACAGATGTTCGACGTTCAGGTCGTCACAGAAATAAACCACAATGGATGACAGGTGGTGAGTTTGTGTTATCTCACACAACGCCATCTCCAGAGTGGCTGGAGAAAGCAGAGTTTCTTCGCACTCTGGCGTTGTCAGGAGCTTTCCATGAGTTGCCTGCTGAGGTGAGGAAAGCCATTATAGCACTGGTTGCGGGTACTGTAGCAGGATATGATGTCAATTGAGACATATCAGATTTTATTGTTCAGGTGAAGGTGTTTTATGTAATTATAAAATTATGCAAATAAAAGTATAAACTGCTAAACTCCAAAAATATGTTTAAAGCTTTCATTGGTGAAGGGTTATTTAATAAACATTGTGGTTGTTTAAAAATCAGATTTACAAAACTGATAAAAGGTTTTGGTGAGGGTTTGTTAAAATTCTATGTGGTTGAGGTGCATCTGAATTATGCCCCTTTGTGGAATATTTACATCACTAAGGAAGTGAGGTGGTTCATTCTGGCCTCAATTTCATATTGTGTGTAATGTGACCAGAGATTAAGTCTCTGATTGGGTACAAGTTTTTTAGGCATATTAAATACCCTGAGTGTCCAAGCACATGGCACTTAGTATCCAGCATTGCACAGCACAGTTACTTGCAGCAGCAGCAGCACTGTTACTTGCCACAGAAGGTTAGTTGAATACTTGTTTTGTTTAATACATTAACTTTAGAGGTTGTTATTTATATTATGCTTGAGTAAAACTTTTAAAATACTACAAATAAATAATTAGCAAATTATTTCTAGCATAACATGTAACTGTAGTGTATGCACTTGTGTATGCCTTGGCAATTTTGTGAAATTGGCAAATGTTGTTTGCAGGTGCCAAAAAGGGGTAGAATAGTAAACTCCATTCCATTCCATAGATGGGTAAGGTGTATTTTCCTTAGTACATTGTGTGAATGTTTTGAATGTGGTGTGCGTGTGTATTTGTGTAACATGACTATTTTAATTTAATTAATGCAACCAATGAAATGTTACCCTATTTGTGATATAGAATATTCTTATAGAATGATTGTTTGCTGTCCATTGGATTCTTTGTCAAATGTTTCAGGGTGATATTTTTGTGGACTTAACTACCCAACGGAGAATAAAATGTCCTCCCCTATACCAGCGACTTTGTTGTTTTGAAGACCTGGTCACAAGTATACAATGAAAGATGCAAAAACATAGCTCTTATTGTATGGAACTATCAGAATAATGATGTAAGGTATATTTTGTGTACAATTTTTGTAGAAATATAGGTACAGTTTGATATCCTGTCATTACAATATTTATTTCGAATATGAATTGATTATATTATCGAAAACAAATGGGATGGCATGGTGTTAAAGCTTTGTAACCCAGCTTTCTTTTGAGCAAGATGGGTGGCCTTGAAAAGGGCCGTTGTGATGGTAAGTCATCTTAACAGTGACATATTAGATCGAGCCCTCGGAAAATAAATGTTCCTGGACAGATATCGTCGTACAGTTGTTGTGCTCCCTTCCTGATGCCTTCACCACAATATATGCAAACGTAAAAGGCAGCTCCCGGTACCACATCAAACCGATTGGAACGATAGGCTTTCAAACAGGTATGACATATTATGTAACGCCATTTTAATGCACATTGCCCTATCACCGCTGGAGATGGTGTGGGTGGCGCTTCTGCTGCCTCTGTTGGTGGTGTGAGCGGCGCTTCTACTGCTGATGCTCATGTATCGGAGGGAGGGAGGGGTACCCACTTCCATTTGAATGTCAGTCTTCACTTTCAGTCTTGGTCTGCATCGGAGACAATGTTTTCTTCCGCAGTTTTTCTGGTAGGGTTTTGGCCTCACTACTTCGACTCTTCTTGCGTCCATGATGATACATCGGGATACTGTCACTTCAAGATTCTTGAGTTTACATAGGCAACAAGGGGATCGAAGACGTCACCTCAGTGATGTGACGCTTCACGGTTCATTGGTTCAATTCCCGTGCGTCTCATTGGTCAAAAAGCCTCACGTCTCATTGGTCAAATCGGTCTCCATCTTCTTAAGTCTTAACCCCTTTTTGATGCCGAGGTTTTTACAAGCGCACATTTTCATAAAGTTTGAAAAGTGAACGTTGTGCGAGATTTGCTCGCATGGTCCTGGATCTGCGTACGGCTATAAAGATACACAGAAATGTAGAATATTAAATTTTTCTATCCGTGGGTATAAATATAAATGCAAATACCCCTGAGAAATAGACACTGCTAAATATTTAGATGTCCAAAATTTTGTTATGCCTTAAAACACAGTAAATTTCTCCGCTTTTGATTGTGCACCGATAACAGCACTGTGCTACGATTTTTAATTTTGCATCTTTACGGAAAGTGTGAGCAAAGAAAATACAGCCTGATATCTGAACGACATAAGTATATATATGAAATGGGTTTATTTGTTTGTGCATAACGTTATACGCTCAATATGAAAATGACTCACAATAAATGTCGAAAATGGATTTTCTTGTATGACGTCAAACGACGACAGAGAGGTCATGCAAGATAAGGGGCATAACTCCGCTATGCTTAACACTAGGTCAATGTAACTCAGATCACTTGGAGAGAATTTGTTGTATATATGTTCGTTATGTTTTGTTTACTGTGAACCAAACTATTGCAGTACAATGTCCCCCAATGTGAGCGGATACATTTTGGTAGTTTCACAATTTATAAGAAAGATGACAATGTACTACATGAGAGAGCACGTAATAAGCGATTTGATGGCCCTATCTGATATGTAAATTAGTTCTTACATTCACATATTCTCCTGTTTGTGTAGATGTATTTTAAGTAATTTTGCGTCATTAATAACCGAGTACTAGCCATTTCTTCAAATGTAATGAAATTACTGAAAAGATTACAACATTTTCGTTGATGTACGCGCCATTGCTTGTTTTATGTATTTTGCAACGTCGGAAAAAGACGACTTTGGTGTGCTGAGTGGTATTTATCTCACCTAATTTCCATGAATTGTATAAAAAGTTTCGGTTTCTATGTCAGAATTTAACACTCTTTTGACAGAACATAAAATGACTGATTTTACCATATAAAATAATGTCCTGAATAGATCCATAATTAGACGGGTTGACTGTGTATCTTAATGTGAACAACACGCACACAAGCA